TGGATTGTTAGAACTCCAAATCTTTTGGAATAGGAAAGGGTGGGGGTAATAAATAAAAGAGTAAATACTCTTTTAGGTCCCTAACAAAAAAACATAGTTTCTCACTTTAGTCCCTTAAAAAAAAATAGTCGTATGATTCCTAAGAAATTCAAAATGAATCTATTTTAGTTCTTTTGAGGGACTAATATGGATCTTTTTTAAATTTGTGAGGGATCACGATTTTAACTAAATAGGTCCACTTTGAATTTCTTAAGGACCAAACGACTAATTTTTTTTGTAAGGAATTAACGTGGGAACCATATTTTTTGTTAGGGATCCAAAAATGTATTTACTCTAAATAAAAGCCTTCGGCCCATCTTTCTTTGTACGTATACCAAAATTTATTCTTCTTCTTATATATCTTTCCAAGTGAGTTTTGTGAGGAGTTTTTTTAATTTAAGCGAGAAATAAAATTGTTCTCTTCTTGTGATTAAAGAGAGGTTTTAATTTTGGGGTTTTCAAAATATTTTTTTTTTTGTTCCATAATTTTTTTTCTTAATTTGTTTGAGGGTTTTTCACGCTAAATTTTCCTGTTCTATTTATTGTTTTCAATATGTCATTATTCTACCAAATGATAGAAGCGTAGTTACTCCATGAGAGCTGAGCAGGTGGGATGAGAATTTATGTTTGATCATCTCCAGTTTCATCTTTTTGAGGGATTTAAAGTCTTAATCTTAAACTCGTCCTGAACAGGATTACATCCCGTAGAAGATACCTATGGTTTATTCCAAAAATAAAATAAAATATGTTGTTATTCTTCTATGCGATGAAATTCAATTTTCTAACATGGTAAACTGTATTAACTCGCAATGAGCATATTTATGACTATTTTTAAAGCTTTTAAAAAGCCATAATTAACACTATGATTTCTTTGACAATTATTTTATTTTACTTGTACATTTTTTTTTTTTTTTTTTTTTGGGTATGAACATGGAAGTATCCTTATTTAACTTCCTTCAGTTACCTTGTGCTCGGAATACAGTCTCAGAGCTACTTCCTCATCGGTACAGAAACTGCATTGAGCTTTATCACCGGAAGAAGGATGAGACTAATCTCCCTTCAAGGAGAGAGGCGATTCCTCTTGGCCCCAAAGATTACTTGTACATTTTAGTTGCAGTGATAATGAAAAGAAGAAAGCTTTGAGATTATATTTATCTTTTTGATTGGTCTGAGTAAGAGGACTAGAGGAGGATATATTTTATGAACTGACATGCAAACAGTAACTACTAAGCCGATTATTACACTTTGTTAAGCATATAATCACATCTACGTACTTCTCATTAATTTCAATCATATATGTCATCTCTAATCCTCCCTCTTTGATTTTAACAATAATGCGCCTTAATGCTCACGCATGACTGGTTGTCAATTTCCTGAACACTAATCAACAAAAGAATAATAAACAGGTCAAAGAATTTTTCAGAGGCAAAAAAGAACAGCTAGCAAAGATGGTGAAGATGGAAGAGAGTAAGCTTTTCTTCTACGAAACTACAACTATGTATGACTACTTTTTGTACAGTCCTTCGGTCTTTATGAATATGACCTGCGTTGAACGAAGTTCGGTTTTCTTTTCAGTTTTTTTGACCTTGAAGTTGTGGTTTTTAGTGATAATATAACTATTTAATGTCTATGAAACTTTAGTTTGTTTTCTTTTTGTGGCGAGTGAAACTAAAGTACTGTTAGCTTTATATAAGCGATGTCAGATTTTTGTTTGGAGAAAATGTCTATAGGTGCATGAACTAGGCTCAGTTTTAATGTCAGAGATTGCATTCCTTCTGAATCTTTTTCCAATCTATGGGATTCCCTCACTTTTTCATATTTTAGACTGTGTCGCGATCATGGAAGCAAACTAGCTCGAGATAATGCTTTCCATGACTTGAAAGAGTGAAAAGGAAATGAAGCTTTTAATTGGTACATAAAGTAACGAAGCTGATAAAACTATTGAAAGAAGATCTAACCTACAGTTAAATTAGGAACGGTTAGAATGAGATATAGAATGTTGGAAAATTAGGTTGCTGACACTAGAATTTAGCTATTGTAATTTGTAACATCTAATCCTATGATGAAACGACTAAAAGAAGAAAACCTCGCGGTAATTCTTCTCTAAGAGAATTTTCCCAATAAAAAAAAAGTTAGCGGAAATATTTTCTGTTTTATTTTTTGTTTTATATTAATAATTATAAAAAAATATATATCACTTTTCTTTTTTGCTTCTAAAGATTTATGCAGAGAATAATATGAAAATAGTATATTTTAAACACGAAATAATTTGTTATTTTCACAATTTTCCGTACAAATATTTTAAAATAGAAAATGAAATGAAAATGAAGGTAAGCAATATTTTTAAAATTATTAATAAAGACAAACAAATAAAAAAAATATTAAACTAAATAAACCCTTAGGAATTCTAGATTTAAACTGCTTATGATTATCGGATTAATTTTATAAAATGAGTGACTTAATAATTTTCAATGAAAATTCATACTATTATGTAATTCATTATGAGTTTAAAAAATTGTAATATATGTATATAGTTAAGCTTTGTCCTAATCAACAAGTGGGTTGGATTACGGTGTAAGACCCATTAAGCTATCTATGACATAGAAATTAAGTTACTCTTATATTGATACCTTCACTATATTCTTAAACTTTCACAATATTCTATTAATGTCTCAGTTATAAAAAAAAAGTTAAAGTGAAAGATCATGTTTCTATATTACACGTCCATTTATTACATCTTTTTAATATTCATGAATGTAATTAATTTCTATTATATCATTATGCAATCTGTTTTTTTTTTTTTTTTTGGACAACTCATTATGTAATCTCTTAAATCGATCAAATATTGCTATTATACGGAGGTCTAAATTCTAATTGAAGATATATTAGAGTTTGTTTGGATTTTTTTTTTAGCTGTATTTTTAAGTTAAAGCTAAAGTAAGAACTTTAAAAATAAAACTACAAGTTGTTTGATGATTATATAAATTTTTTAGCTTAAAAGCTATTCATTTAAAAAAAAGTACATATTTAAAAAAAAACTTATACAATTTAGAAAAAACTTTTCCTAGAAGCTTTTAGCTTTTAATTTTTTTCTTCATTATAAAAAATTTATTTTTATTATAAGAACTTTTGTAAAAATCTATTTGACCTAGCTTCTAATTATAAGGAGAAGCGAAGTTAAATTTTTTTTTCCAAGCAAACACTTAGTATGCAATTTAATTCTAAAAAAACTTCCTTTTTATCATTAATAACATGTTTAGTTCTTGTAGTCAAGTTTGTATATGCAATATCTTCTTCAATGTATAAGTTTAACTCTTACCATTTAGTAAAAAAAAAAAAAAACTAATCATTGAGTAAAGAAGCACAAGTTGGATAAAAAGTGCGATAGAAAATGATTTAAAAACCAAATGTAACCCTCTGCCCCTTTAAAAATACTGCAACTTTAGTGACGGTACTACATAATATAGAACAAGCAGCAAAATTTTATTTTATTTTATTTTTAATAAAAATTTGATTCTTCCAATGCTTTGATAAAGTCGTTGTTGCTTACCAAAAAAAAAAAAAAAAGTCGTTGTTGCTTTTGATTTTTGAGAATATAAATGCGTAAGGTAGTCAAATTTATCATGAGTATCAACAAAGCTACCTAAAAAATTTAGGCTAATAGGTTCAAAATGGGAGTTATATTTTTCTTCTCTCTTCCTTCCCTAAAGCAATAGAGAAAAACATTCATATAATATTTGTTTATTTGTTATTCATTTCTTTTATGTAAATTGTGCTTTTTCCTGCTCATGTTTATTTCTCAATTAATAATAGTTTTCATCGATGACTTTCAATAAGTAGTAAGTATTACTTACTAAGTAAATGTTTTTGTAAACATCTGTCGGAATCTATAACAGAAACTGTTAGAAATCCAAATTATTTACTGCCGGGTCACTCTTCTGTCTTCAGTCTTGAGAACAGCTTTTCAACATTGTGAAAAGGAAATTTGAGGAAAGAAAAAGAAAGGAGTGTAAAAATAAAAAAAGTATAAAACTGAAAGAAAAAAAATAGTAGAAGAAATGAGGGTTTCCACGTCACTGAAATTAATACCCATTCTTCCCCAATCCCCACCACATGGTGCTTTGCAACTTTAGCTTTATGCATGCATCTTAACCAGTATTGGGTAACCTTAACCATAGCAGGCGGTCACTTCTTAACCCAACTTCACACTGTTCCCCTGCGTGGTCCCCCATAGTCCCCCGTACTAACCTCAATGTTACTCGTAAACATTATTAAAATAAGGAAAAAGATGTGTATCATTTTAAATGATGTAAAATTATGTTATTTTAAGAGAGAAAAAGAGATAGATAAAAGAAAAGAGAGAGCGGACAAAAAAAATAAAGATGTGAGTCTCACATCTTTGTGAGAGTGAAATGACATAAGTTATGTTATTTAAAAGGACAAATACTTTTTCCTTAAAATAAAAGAAAATATTTTTCTTACGTTATATAGTTATTTCATGTAGAAATAAAATTATAAATGAGACTCACAGATAAGAGGAGAGAAAAAAAAAGAGTGATAAGACCCAATCCTTTTTTAAGTGTGTAGGAAAGAGAAAAAAAAAAGAGAATGGTGAGACACAATCCTTTTTTAAATGTGTAGAAAAGTTATTTATCTCATGTGAAATGAGATAAACATAACCCTAAAATAAAATACTTTATTCCCTTTTTCAATTAACCCCAAATAGAAAGAAAAACATTTGACAAAAAAATAAATAAATAAATCTCATCTACTTATCATAACTTATGCTCATATAATTATAGTTCTTTAATTTCTGTTAGTATATAAATAATACTTTATTTTTTTTGTAATATACAGTATATAAATAACACATAGTTATGTTCATATATGTACATCTCTCCTCTTTCTATATATATGACTCTGTTTTCCCCTAGTCCTATATGTACTCTTTACAAGTTAAACCTATGGCTTTGTAAATTCTCTCTCTCTCTCTCTCTCTTTGTGTGTGTGTAAGTAAGGGTTCATCAGAAGAAAAAACCTCTGCAGGGACAAATATCCCCTCCCAAACCAGTTACTAGTTAGTTAAGTAACGGTTTTTTTATTTTTTTATTTTGGTTTAATTTTCACGCAACATTAACAGAGCTTCACTTCACTTCACTTTTTTCCAAGAAAAGAAAAATGATAAGTTGGAAGGATCTATACAGCGTATTGACGGCGGTGGTTCCTCTGTACGTGGCGATGATATTAGCGTACGGTTCAGTGCGGTGGTGGAAGATATTCTCACCGGACCAGTGCTCGGGAATAAACCGGTTCGTGGCGATCTTCGCGGTGCCTCTGCTTTCCTTCCACTTCATATCAACGAACAACCCATACGCAATGAACTTCCGGTTCATCGCCGCCGACACGCTTCAGAAGATAATCATGCTGTTCGCGCTTTCCATCTGGACAAACTTCACCGCCAACGGAAGCCTCGAGTGGATGATCACAATCTTCTCACTCTCGACATTGCCCAACACTCTCGTCATGGGAATCCCACTCCTCATCGCCATGTACGGCGAATATTCCGGCAGCCTCATGGTTCAGGTGGTGGTTCTCCAGTGCATCATCTGGTACACTCTCCTCCTCTTTCTCTTCGAGTACCGCGGCGCCAAGCTTCTCATCATGGAACAGTTCCCGGAAACCGCCGCCTCCATAGTCTCATTCAAGGTCGACTCCGACGTCGTTTCCCTCGACGGAAGGGATTTTCTCGAGACCGACGCCGAGGTAGGCGACGACGGAAAGCTCCACGTCACCGTTAGGAAATCCAACGCTTCCAGAAGGTCTTTCATGATGACTCCGAGACCTTCTAACCTCACCGGCGCTGAGATTTACAGCCTCAGCTCTTCCCGTAACCCAACGCCACGTGGCTCCAACTTCAACCACGCAGATTTTTATTCCATGATGGGTTATCAACCCAGGCACTCCAATTTCGCCGCTAACGACTTGTCACGTGGCCCCACACCGCGCCCTTCCAATTTCGAAGAGAATTGTGTACCAATGGCGCAGACGATCAGTACCTCCCCCAGGTTCGGGTTTTACCCGGCCCAGACTGTACCCGCTGCGTACCCGGCACCCAACCCGGAATTCTCTTCCACTCTGAGTAAAAGTCACAGCAAAAACTCACAATCACAATCACAATCACAGCCACAACCACAACAACAGTCACAACAATTGGTTCAAGCTCAAAACCCCAACACTGCTAAACCCAGCCATGACGCTAAAGAGCTTCACATGTTCGTGTGGAGCTCAAGCGCATCGCCGGTTTCCGAAGGCGGCGCCGGCCTCCACGCATTCAACGGCGCAGATTTCGGAGCTTCCGACCAATCTGGACGCTCCGATCAGGGTGCCAAGGAGATCAGGATGTTGGTATCTGATGACCACCCTCATAATGGGGAATCCAATAAAGGTAATTATTATTTTATTTTATTTTTGGAGAAAACGAGATTTTATGTGAGAATGATTTTGATTTGGTGATTGTGTGATCATTGGTTGAAACTGAAGCTATGCCGGAGGCAGAGTTTGGTGGGGAAGAGTTGAAGTTTCACGGAAAAGAAAGAGAACAAGCAGAGGAAGACGGAGAGAAAGCGGGACCCACTGGCCTGAACAAACTAGGTTCTAGTTCAACGGCGGAGCTACACCCGAAAGCCACCGGATCTGCCGTCGGGAAACACATGCCTCCGGCGAGTGTCATGACCCGTCTCATACTGATTATGGTGTGGCGGAAGCTTATCCGCAACCCCAACACATACTCCAGCCTCATTGGCGTTGTTTGGTCCCTCGTGGCGTTTAGGTAAAAATAAAATCAAACGTGGTTTTGACTTTTTTGTTATTACTATAGAGTAAATAATTATTTAATGTTTCATCATCATTAATTGATTGCAGGTGGCATGTGCACATGCCCAAAATAATTGAGAAATCAATTTCAATACTCTCTGATGCTGGACTTGGAATGGCTATGTTCAGCTTAGGTAAGTGGTCGCCATTTCTCCAAATTCCTATACCCTTTCAATAATTTCATTCTTTTTATATTTGCAATCCCTTTCCTCTTTTACTAAAGCAGCATTTTTTTTTAGGTATTCCCATTCCTCTTAAGTAGTTCTAATTTTAATGTGCTTGTATTTAAATAGTTTTATCCACGTATTTTATTGCGCTTTATATTTTCTATATTAAAAAAAAAAATCACAATACGATGAAGGGGGTACAACGGCACTTGATTGAATGTGATGGTAACATGGGTATGATGAATCAATGAAAAGTATGGATTTGGGGGAAAGCAAGTAAGCAACTTATTATAGCCGTTCATTCTCGTGAAGTTTGTTACCACATAACATAACCAAATGATCCTGTGCACTTGACGATAATATAGAGATTGCATAATGATAGTGCAATGTTCCCGACATGTGGGGTCTGGTCTTCAACCACGTTGCTTGACGGTCCCGGGGCGGTTGTGGGGACCGGTGCAATTTTTGGATCCTAATTAGGCAAAGATGAATTGGACGAATCAAGCAGTGCTATAAATATCTTTTTAGAGAAAACTGAAAAGCCTTTTTCCCATGATGCTGTGAATGTAAATTGTGGATGCCTTTTGTTTTATATTTTACCCTTTTGGCTAAACATTGAGGATTTACCTAATTGGTGAGATTTTTGTAGGTCTGTTTATGGCTCTTCAACCCAAACTAATTGCATGTGGGAAATCCATTGCTACATTTGCCATGGCTGTTCGATTCCTTACAGGTCCCGCTGTCATGGCCGCAGCTTCCATCGCTGTTGGCCTGCGTGGCACCCTCTTACGTGTAGCTATTGTTCAGGTAATTAACCTAAACCGTATCTTTTTACATGCTTATGTAATAAAATTACTTTGATAACTTGGAATGTTAAAGTTGGAGATTTTGAATAATCGGGAACGCAATGGCTTTACACATTCCATGATATTTTACATAAAAGTTTTAATGATTTTTTATGTGAATAATTTTAGGTATCATATTAAACATGAAAAGTTAAAAGACTTAAGATTGTGAGCTTACGGAAATATAATTGTTGAAAATAGGCTGCACTTCCGCAAGGGATTGTTCCATTTGTGTTTGCCAAGGAGTACAATGTCCATCCAGCCATTCTTAGCACAGGGTAAGCAATTAAACTTCTTTATTTTATTTTGTTTCTCATTCTTTCTCTCAAGAAAGAAATTGACCCTTTTCCTGAAATGTTTAAATTTAATTGCAGGGTTATATTTGGGATGTTGATAGCACTACCAATTACTCTAGTCTACTATATACTGCTTGGTTTGTGAAATATCTATACAGTAGTAGTGTAGTAGCCAACGTACAAGGACAGAACGAATGACCCTTTCTAACCTTTTTTACTTTGGGAGTAAGCATGCACGTCTGGTTACCACATTGGATTATGCTGTTATTAGCAAGAATGAGGATTTTCTGGACGGGATGAACGAGAATCACGAACTAGTATCCTTAAAACAAAGGAAATCCTTCCGAGTTTCCAAAATTTTGGGAACTCCAGAAAATTTGACGGATTGGGCCAAATACTCGTAATTTTATGCCCCTATTTGAAGTCCAAACTGACGCAATTTCCAAGAACTGAGAAAAAGGAACAAGTACAGCATATAGGAGACATAGCAGAGGAAAACAAGGGAAAGCTAGCATGAGCTGAGTCAATGATATCAAGAAATGGTTCCCTCCATATCTTCATTCTAAATTTTTATTAGAAAGTCATGTTTGTGTCATTAAGTAACAGAGGAAATGAAATTGGAATGTAAGAGGAAGACTTTTTTTTTTTTTGTCTACTTTATACTTCAAATTTATTGTGTTATTGTTGGATTTTTGTCTTTGATCGTCCGCGTATTCAGCAATTATTTCGGTTTGTCGTCTTTCTTCGGTTACGTACTTTATCTGGCATTTTTTTACCTATGAAGTAAAAAGATCAAAAAGTCATCTTCGTTATTTTTCTATCGTAAAGAAAAGAAGTCTGTGCAATAAAGTTGGGAGTTGGGACCACGAGACTGAGAGTTGAACTTTCAGAACACATCTGAAATGGAAGGAAATAAATTTGCTTTTTTCTATATTTTTTTTATAAAAAAAAGTGGAAAAAGCGCAGAGTCAAAAGCTCAGAACTTACTTTTTCTTCATTTTGGCCATTGATGTGCCCACGACCCTAACTAGCTAGAGACTATGTAACTAGCTAGTAACTCTTAGTAACCTTTATGAAGACTTAAGGGGCGGAGGTGGGTTGGTCAGCACTCAACTTTTTTACCAGGAAAATGATGGCACTTCCACCTCATGTCATGCCACATCCCATTCAATCATCGCTAAAGGTCGTTCAATTATGTTCATATGGTGACAGTTGTAAGGGGAGAGCAACGACAAGAAAATCGTTATCTCCAACCTTAGATGGTGCATAAAGAGAGAAGAGTAGGCGTCTCCTAGGTCTAAAGAGCAAAATATAGAGCCTACCTTAAAGTTGAGAGATTGCTTATTATAAGGATCAAATAGGAAAATCATCCTGTATCCAAAAAATAAAAAATTTATCGGCATTTGGAAATACTACTTTTTTTTATTGATATATAACAGTTGAGTTTTACAGTTAATATTACAACAATATATATCAGTTATGTTTTACGGTTAATATTACGTATATATTTACAGTTAATCTTAGAGAAAACTCTACTAAGAAAGAGGGAGATGAAGTTTTAGAGTACGGAACTTGATAGTAAAAAAAGATAAAAATAAATATTAAAGGTGAGAATAATTTCTTTCCTTCTTCTAAAATATAAACTCATGAAAGTGTTATTTTGTTATTTATTTTACTTTTCATCTTCTTCACCTAAATGTCCCGATGGATACCACATTGCAATTTATTTTATGTTATTTATTTTAGCAATTTATATTACAATAATTTTTAATTAAATATATATATAAAATTCACTAATTCATATTTCAGTAATTTACTTTTCTATAATTTATGTTGTTACAATTTATATTCTAATTTGTATTAAAAAAAATTTAGGATTTTTTAATTTATAATTATTGTATATGTGCATAGTATTGATAGTAACATATATGTGATAAATATTGTATATTTATTTATTTTATTTTTTATTTTACATGTTCATTATATTGATACGTTATGTATTTATTTTTAATAATTTATCAAGGTAATATTTGCACCATAAATTTTGTATGGTAAATTTTGTTCAGTAAAAATCTCTATAACTTATATTTTTTTAAGATTTACTGTTGTGATATGATTGTTTTTATTTTTATTGTGATATCAAATTTAAGTAATGATATGTTATGACTTATAATTTCTTTTTATAGGATTCTTTTAGAGGTATTTGCTGCTTGTCTGCCTAAAGAGTTTTTGGAATTCCTTATTAAAGGTAATCTAAATATGTGTATGGTCAAGAAAATGGGTTTCTTGAGTCAAGAAACATATTCCTTAGACAAAATGGGCAAGGGGACGCCTACAAAGTACAAAGTTTTAATAAATTGAGAAATTCATGCTTATGAAAATGTCTTGGCAGATAATGTTATATACTTATGTATGTGTGTGTGTGTTAAACTGTTTTGAAATATTATGAAGTTGACATTATTCATTTAAACCAATGGTAATTTTTTCATACTAAGTTATGGCTGGAAACACTATACTTCTGCGAAGACCTTTTGATTTGTTATCTTCACTTGGATAAATATCTCATTAAGTGCGTGTTTTCAAATGTGGAGGACAAAGTGTAAAGAAGATTTTGTGAGTGTGCAAGAAAGAAGTATTAGCCAATAAAATCTAAGTTTTTATTTAGTTGTGAAGTTTTGTATTAGACCATATATGTTGCAATGTTCGTATTTTGTAAGGGTTACTTAATATCTTAGGCTTTTTGACCCTTATAACCCTTTACTAATAATTAATTACCAAATTGACCTTCATTATAAACTATTTCAAAAATTTAACCCCCTCAAAAAACATAACACCAATCTGCCCCTGTTTGACCGTTGACCACGAAGCCTACCCGGGTACACCCCTACCTACCCGAGTATCTTTTGAAATTTTTTGTTTACCCGGGTAGAAAGGTGTGTACCCGGGTATTGTTCTTGATTGCTTGAATTATTTACCCGGGTACAGATGAGTGTACCCGGGTAAATCTTGTAAAGTAAACAACCCTTCAATTATTGATAGCAGTAAAAAGTCGTCGACAAATTTGTTGGTTACTTACATAATATGGAGATTCTTAAATGGATACTAAAGTATCTTTGTTTACTTTCTATTTCTTGGTTTATGTGAAAAGCGGGCGATATTTTGAATCACCAAAATATAATATTTCCAGACATAACCAGTTATAAACCCATCCTTGTCCCTTGGATCCCTGTTACCATTTCTCAAAGCCTGGTAATATACAGGAACTTCAATAGCATGATAGACCCTGAGGTATGACCTTAACCTCAATGCATCATCATCACAGCCTAGAAGGCAAACCCACCATAATCATGCTAGCACACATTTTGGAGGATAGGAAAATTTGCAGCGGGCTTCCTAAGGAGTGATTGTAAAAAGAAAAGAGTGCATCGTCTAGCTTTTGTGAAACAAAATGAGCTTAGTTGGATTTTCTTTGAAATTCTTAAAATGTATCGTCGATTTTGGAGTTCGTGAATCGGTTCTGAATCTGTATGCTCATTTCTTGGTTTACAAGATTTACCCGGGTACACTCATCCGTACCCGGGTAAATAATTCAAGCAATCAAGAACAATACCTGGGTACACACCTTTCTACCCGGGTAAACAAAAAATTTCAAAAGATACCCGGGTAGGTAGGGGTGTACCCGGGTAGGCTTCGTGGTCAACGGTCAAACAGGGGCAAATTGGTGTTATGTTTTTTGAGGGGGTTAAATTTTTGAAATAGTTTATAATGAAGGTCAATTTGGTAATTAATTATTAGTAAAGGGTTATAAGGGTTAAAAAGCCTAATATCTTATGTTGATTTAATTTTTTGTTTTAATATTTTGAAATAAAGTCAATTTTAGTAAAATTTACATTCTCAGTCATCTGTATAATATACGTATATAATTAGAGTTTGAACTACGTAAGTAACGTTCCTAGGTTAATAATCAAAGGATGTTACATGGTGTACCAGTGGGAGGTTTGTTTGGACAACAAATTATTCGGTATATAATTGTTCATCTCTATTGCTAGCGGGCATTTGAGTTATAGCAACCATCATGGTTTTGATGGGAAAGGAGTTGGTGTATATCTTCAAGAACTCCGATGCTCAAGTCAGTGTCTGAACATGGTAGAGTTTGTGTAGAGTAAGTTGCATAACTAAGGTACAATAATCTATATGCTTAGGTTGGAGACTATGATGGACTACCACTTCAAAAAACCTAATGTGTCGTATCTAACACTTTTTACCATTTCAACATGCATTGCAGAGACTCAAAAAAGGGTTTAAAGGTTACGTTGTGTTACGTTTTTTGGTTCGAACTATTAGATTCGTTGGATTACGATTACCATTTTATTGAGTTTAATATAAATATTTGTGATATCTTATATTTCTTTGCAAAATTGAAAGGTATTAGAAGTTTAACTTTATTTTTTTGTTAAATTACGGAATATATTAAATATAATATACACTACATAAATTAAAAATATTATTTAATATCAAAACGTATTTTAAAGTGTCAAAATTTAATATTTTTTAAAATTAACTTGTATATCTCATATCATAGGTAGCCATAGATAATAGATTGGAGGTGCTGTTATGGAGCCTGTGAGCCGGTACTGTAGGTTGTACGATATATCTATCAACATATAGCTGCTGGAGAAATTCGACTTTTTTGTAGGTCTATACATTACCGTGGTGTAGTGTGATGCGACATATAACGCATGTAATTTTATAAATGTTAGCGTGTAAAGCATGATCACTAAGCGAGTTTTAGACGTTTTAGACCGACTTGTTGAGTCGGTCGACTAAACTATAAATTCGATCCAGAACAATATATATATATATATATAGATATATATGAGTTTATTTAATCTTATGTTGTATGAGAGATCTTCTCTTATGTTATAGATACACATGTAGTGAGAACCATCATTTAAAAAAAAAAAAAAAAGTGTCACGATTTTTTATGGATATGTAGGAGATAAAACTATTCTTATATTGCATAAGAATAGTTTTTCTTTATATATATATAAGTATATATAAAATTGTTTTTCACTTAATATTGTACTATAGGATTTGTAATGGTGTAGAAATAAATCAGTTGACTATTTCTTGTTCATTGGTTTACATTCAACCAATCAGAGCCCAATCTCTTGATTTATCATTTTGCAGAATAATTTATTAAATTTCTATATTTTAAAATCATTTTTACCTTCATTTTTTTTGGGAAATACATGTACAAGTTTTAAGAAAAAAGAAAAAATTAAAAAATTAGGCCACACTTCATCTGATTTGGGCCTCTTCTTTCATTATCCATGTGCCTTAAGTGCATGCTTGAAATTTGAGGCCCAGACTCAAAAAAATTTGTTATTTGTTAGTCTTTACTCCTCACCCCCCACTCCTTCTTTTTTTTTTTTTTTTTTTTCATTTTCTATGGATCAGCCACAGAAAATTCTGGAATGCATAATAAATTTCAAGAAGAAAAATTACATCCTTTATTTTTCTTATTTAGATTATATGAAAGGTGAAACAGCCACCAATGCAATCAAAGCTGTCGTATTTGGCCAATATTATTATCAATCAAAATCTTTTTTATCGGGTATGACTCATATTTCTTTTGTTGGCTGATAGCAGATGCCTAATATTATTGTGGGTCTCTGGCTTATTTTATTTTTCTT